ACTAAATGCACTAGCCTTACATGTTACTCTGTGAACTGAGGGAATACATACTAAATGCACTAACCTTACATGTTACTCTTTGCTCAGTTTCTTCCCATGAATGACAAGGCTGTATCTTGTGTGCATCTTTACATACCAGACATTGTCTGGCAGGTTTCAGTTGAAGCAGTCAGGCCTGTCCAGTCTGTCCTGTGGGTCACATGATCCCAGGGAAGCTGTGAATGTGGCCAGACCCCTTAGAGTCAGAAGGCTGACAACCCTGGCTCCCAGCCGCTCAATTTTTCTTCTTTACATATCATTGTCTTTTTTTATCAAGACAGAACTCAAGTTTCTATTGAGAAATTATTCTGAGTCAGGCACAGTGTCTCCTGGCTGTCTCTGAGCAGTTGAGGGGCTGCAGGAGTGCAGATTTGGATAGCATAGTGAGATCCTCTCAGAACAAACACCAGCACACCAGAGCACCCTCCCCTTCGCTGTTGTAGGGCAAGCCCAAGAAGAATGAGAGTTTGTGGAGTGTGGCGAGAGGGGTTATCAGAATGCTGCGGAAAAACTACGGCTATGTCAGAGTGGATTTTGCACAACCGTTTTCCTTGAAGGTGAGAGACCGTTAAAGCACTGGCCTGAAGCTTGTAACATAAACAGTTCCTTTTAACTGTTGAAAATCGAAATATAGTGTATATGTTGTCATGAAGGTTTTTTATTTTTTCCTTTCTTTTAATTTTACCAGGAATACTTAGAAAGCCAAAGTCAGAAGCCAACGTCCGCTCCCCTTTCTCTGGAGCAAGCTCTGCTACCAGCCATTCTTCCTGCAAGGTTGGTGTGCAGCCCAGTGCTGACTCAGCTGCCCTCCAGGTCTCATGCCCTCATTGTATGGGAACATGTTCCCCTCCTCAGTGCAGTGGCATCCTCTTGATTTGATAAATAATGCTCGCTCTCTCTTTCACTTTTTCTCTCTCTCTGTAGCCTTTGTCTAATTATGTGTCACACTTCTGATTTTGTGAATCTTGTTGGGTTATTTGATTTATGCTTTTGAATATTTGAGCTGAATTTATTTGGGGGTCGCTTGGGTTATGCATATTGTAAGTGAGTAAGTGAGTGAGTTTCTTAAATTTTCCAGAACTGAAAATTCATTGTCATTTAGAGCCTTCCTTTATAGTAGGTAAAATGTTGAGTTTTCGGATACTCTAAAACAGGATATCTTGCTTCCTGCATTCTTTCTGTCAGTTAGTTTGGAAGTGATGTATTGATAGACTATTTAGTCATTAATAGACAAAGAATTCTGCCTGAAAAACGATATGTTAGGCTCTACATTGTAGAGGAAAAAAACCCAGAAAAATGATCTGCTTATAATTTAAAGTATGTGGTGATCAGAGCTATCCATACATTTGGAAATTACTCCTATATTGTGAACTAGGGCTATGTGTGGTACGTGTATGTCACCCCAACAGTTGGAAGGCAGGAGGAGTGCTGTAAGCTTGAGGCAGACCTAGTCTCTATAGTGAATTTTAGCTAGCCTGGGCAACAGAATGAAATGCTATCTCAAAATATAAAGTAAAAATAAACTTGAAGTGTGAGGCTATAGAAGGCTGATTTGACGAATTTTTTTAGGCCTAATGATGCTGCTGAAAGTGAAGACACGTCCAGCAATGAGCCCAGAAACACAGCAGATGAGGCCTTCCGAAGACGGCTGATTGCAAACCTGGGCGAGCACATTCTCTTCAGTGAGTGGAACTCCACGCTTGCTTGTCAGATACACACTGTGTAGTGTAGTGTGGAGCAGTGTAGGCCGTGCAGGCTGGACGTCTGCCCAATTTAGTTCCTCTTCAGAGTCCATTACCTCTTCCAAAAGTTGTGATAGGCAAGATCCTGGCAGGTGGGTGGCTGTCTGAAAAATACAGCAAAACACCCAGAGGGTGTCTGACAAGAGTAGTCCTTGTGCAGTAATTCTCATGCTTCTTAACACATACTTTGTCAAGAGGATTTGTAGATTCCTTTTGCTCATAAATATGTGCCTGACCTATTGGATGGTGTGGTATCTGTTGCTGTCCACTCTCCTGATAGTCAGTCAGCGGTGTTTCTGTCCACTCTGTTCTGACAGTCAGTGGTGTTGCTGTCCACTCTGTCCTGACAGTCAGTGGTGTTGCTGTTCACTCTGTCCTGACAGTCAGTCAGTGGTGTTGCTGTCCACTCTGTTCTGACAATCAGCGGTGTTGCTTTCCTCTGTTCTGACAGTCAGTGGTGTTGTATGGTCTCTAAAAATACTTTGTGGCTGTGAATTGTTTTCTATTTATTGCACATTTACTGGTGTTTTTAAGTTTGCATAAATTCTTTTCTAGTGGCTATAAAATGGTGCTGGACCCTTTTCAAACCCTGGAGACAGTTTTAATCGCAAGTGAAATATTTCTTAATTCACTGTTATTTCAAAAGACCCACAAATGGCATTTCTAGTCCATATTTCTCCATATGATGACAATTTTCTACAGATTCAAAGTGCTGGGCACCAGAGCATAGGTGTTCCAAATGTGTGTCCATGTCTCCCACTCCCCGCTTCTCTGGGCCACATTGGAAAGAGGAAATGCAAGTGTACTGAGCATTCTTGTTCTGAGTGGCCGCCAGGCAGTCAGCCTATTTCCTGTTTAAAAACGGAGGTTATGAATTCATTTCGAGTCATGAAATCAATTAGTGTAGAAGTTAGAATTTGAGCCCTAATTTTGTGACTTCAAGTCTACTGTGTCGTTATTCTTTCATTTTTACACATGGAGATACACAAGAAGAAGGAAATAAGACTGTAGCCCGTAGCTTGCCAAGGCCCACAGTGAAGGGGCCCTTAGAGTTCCAGAGTGTGCTGACATTTTGGTCTTGGATCTTGGTATTTCAGTAAAGACATCCATTTAGTGATTTGATCTCATTGGTCTGGATTGAAGGTGGACTTGTCATAGAATGTGGTCTCATGGCTAGCGATTGCTGTGAGGCTCCAGAACACTGGCAAATCCAGTTATATCTCCGTGGTAAACTGTAGTCATGGAAATACAGCAGAAGATGGGGTTAGCGCCATAGTTCTGTTGAAAGCTAAGGCACTTCCAAGGTCTCGCTTATTAGAGCAAGGTCAGCTAATGCTCTGTCTCTTTACAGCTGCTAGCAAGTCCTGCGCCATCATGTCCACTCACATTGTGGCCTGCCTGCTTCTCTACAGACACCGGCAGGTATGTCTGATGCTCCTGGTGGTTCAGCCGGAAGCCTGGGTATTTGTCAGCCTGTTCCGGGCTGAGGCTGTGAGATGAACAGTGAAGCTAAGCGACCTGCCCAGCGTTCACCAGCCCAGCGAGGGAAGAAGTTTGCATGAAACTGAGCCAGACTGTAAACACATAGAGCAGGAGGATGCCGCAGTGGTGTAGTTAACTTAAGGTGTATTTCAGTGGCACACAATATGCACAGAACAGTTTCCAGGAAGTTTGCTTAGTATGCCAGAGCCCCCTTCTGCCTACCATAACAGGCTTGTGTAGCTCTGCCATGAGAGAGGCCCTGCCTTTCATGTTCACTGTCATGCTCTTGATGCCAGACATAGGGTCTGTGTACAGACACCAAGTAAACATTCGGTGGGGGCGTGCTTAAGAGGGCATCCTCACTTCAGACTGTTTGTGTCTCCCTCCCATTGTGATCCCGTGTGCTCAGGTTTTGTGATGTGACATCTGCCCATGACACTCCCCAGGAGCAGCTTTTTAGTGCCTTTCCTGCTGCTGGAGTTGCTGGTCTGGGCCTGTTTCTGTGTGTGCCAGCAGAACAGCCACAGCAGGGAGAAAATCTGGGGAAATCAGGCTTTCTGCTGTCACAATCCCTTTTTGTTTCTCTATAGGGAATCCACCTCTCCACATTAGTGGAAGACTTCTTCGTGATGAAGGAGGAAGTCCTAGCTCGTGACTTTGACCTGGGATTCTCAGGGAATTCAGAAGATGTAGTCATGCATGCTATCCAGCTTCTGGGAAACTGTGTCACAATCACCCACACTAGCAGGAAAGACGAATTTTTTATTACCCCCAGCACAACTGTCCCATCGGTCTTTGAACTCAACTTCTACAGCAATGGGGTTCTTCATGTCTTTATCATGGAAGCCATCATAGGTACGTGAGGGCCTGAAACATCCTCAGAGATGTCCCTGATGCTCTAGGAACATATAGGGTGCCTGCTTGGTTTAGGTGCCAGCATCTCGCTTGAGGGAGTCCACCACTGTAGTTCAGTCTGCAGTGGACACGGTGTCTACTGAGTCACCTCCACAGCACTGTGTTTTCTACTGTGGAGGTGAGTTAGAGCTGTGGGGGCAACAGAGGACCTGAGCTGCTTACAGAATGGGATGCTATTGCAGACTATTATTTTGTTAATTGTTAATAGGCTCTAATGTAAGAGTCACCCGGCACTGGTGACTCCACTGTTCCTTGTGTTTTCTCAGCCTGCAGCCTGTATGCAGTTCTGAATAAGAGGGGCTCAGGAGCCTCTGCGGGTGGCCCTGGTAGCTTCATCAGTCAGGAGCAGCTGGTACGGAAGGCAGCCAGCCTGTGTTATCTTCTTTCCAACGAAGGCACCATCTCGCTGGTGAGTGAAGGCTCCTCCATGCTTAATTGTGTGAAATACCTTTACTTTTCTGTTAGAGGACCTTTGTCCTATTGCTGCAACCTTCTGAGTTTCAGGGACTACTAATCTAGTTTTGGCGTTGACTGTCTTGGTTTGTGTCTGGCTAAGTGTCCAGTGCCCTGGTTCTGAGGCATGAGAAATTCCTGGAAGTTCTCAGTCAGACCCCAAGTTACTGTGCAGTGACGATGCGGAAGGAAGGTACTGAGTTGGTTGTCAGTAACTAGCACACCCACTTGTGGATGTGGAAACGCAGATGATAGGTGGATAAGCCAGAAGTGAGCTGTCCCACACCTCCTCGGCTTACATGCTCAGAGGCTCAGAAGTGTGTGTTTACTCTATCACATCTCTGCACTAGTTGACATTGAAAATGAGGCCTGCATATTGAGCAGATTTTGGATACTCAAAACCAAGTAGAACTGTTTGCACTGTACTATTCTTTTTTCTCATATGGCTGATTATTCGGACATTCATGAGTGTGTACATTTTGAATGTGTTCTTCCTGAACATGCTCTTTGTGTGTGGTTGACACTTGGGTGGTGGGATCAGGAGGGGTGTGGGCAGATAGGGCTCCTAAAGTGGACCTCGTATTTTTTATGGGTCTTTTCTGAGTTATTGGAGTGTTGTGTTCATTTCTTGTGTGAGCTATTTTCACTGAGAGATAGCTCCTGCACGGAGATCACCATAAAACAAAAGAGACAAAAGGTCCCGAAAGGCCCAGGAAGCTGGTCCTTCAGGGCTTGTCCTACTCAGGGCACTGGGATCAGGAGCTCTCTCTGTGGTTGGCACCACATAAGTGCACTGCTGTCCCTGGGAAAGGACTCTTTTCTCTGGCCTTGTCACGACCATTTGTTAAGACGGTGGAGCTGAGATCTTAGGCCGTCCTCGGTGTGGAATGGAAGGACTAACAGCTGCACCAGGCTGACTCACCCATAAATGACTTTTCTCTGTAGCCCTGCCAGACTTTTCACCAAGTTTGTCACGAGACAGTAGGAAAGTTCATCCAGTATGGCGTTCTTACAGTGGCAGAGGTAAGAGAGCACAACACGCATGCCTTGTTTTCTTCACTTAGCTGCTTGTCCTTCACTGTCTTTTTCTACCGATTGTTCATCTAAACCAGTGTTTCTACCAGTTATCTCAACCAATAAAATACATTTGCTATGGATTTACATTCAGATGGTAGAAGAGGACAATAAGAATGGGGCACAAGTATCCTGGGATTGTTTAATATTTGGATTTCTTTTGTAAATGTTATTTTCTAGATGAAATAGATGAAAGCATATCTTGATTTGATTCTCTGGCATGCAGAAGTTGATTCTGGGATGAGACATGAAGCATGTCAGGGTTCTTGGAGCTTATGCGTAGTGAGTTTTTTTATCTTCTGAGATTCCAAGTCTGGTCCTTGGAATAGACTTAGTGTCATTCTGAGGGACTGGGAAAGCAGCTAGAGAAGATAGGAAAGTTCCATCTTGCAGCTCTCCCTCAACCGCCATCTGCTCTCCCTGCTGCCTCCCAAGTGGTTTTGTGTTTGGAAAAGGCCGGAAGTTATCGTGAGGGATGTGCAGCAGAGAAGGCACAGGTGGACTCTGAGGAGAGGGTGGCTTTGTCAGGGTCCGTTGGATGTTGGCTGTGTATTTACTGTCGGCTATGTTCTTGGAATAGCAAGATGACCAAGAAGATGTCAGTCCTGGTCTTGCAGAGCAACACTGGGACAAGAAGCTTCCAGAACCTCTGAATTGGAGAAGTGATGAAGAAGATGAAGACAGTGATTTTGGTGAGGAGCAGCGAGATTGCTATCTGAAGGTACTTTGGTGAAGGATTCTGGGTATATAATAGTGAAGCATTAAGTTTGTGTTGCAGCTGGATAATGGGGACTGGTGACTTTCTCATGTCCAAAGTACTTGTGAACCAGCTCTAACCAGCTCTGGTACCTCTCACCAAGTAAAGTCATTTAAAGTTAACGCCTTATATTGTCAAGTTTGGGGACTGGTAAGTGGAGGGGGACTAGGATTTGCAAAGCTAGGAAGAAAAGAGGTGACCTCCAGCACGTCTGAGAGATGTACAGGTGGCAGCTGCTACCCACTTGTCCCCACTCTCCACAGGGCAGTGGTTGTGTTTTCAAATGACACTCAGGAGCTCCCGCTCTTTCCGTTTGGGTTTCACTAGTTTCACATTGGACAGTGGTCTTGCTTCATGCATTTGAATATATAATTGCTGTTCCCTGCTTTTTGGATGCATAAGTGACCGTCATGCTTGAATTGTAAACCCTAGAGGGCTCAGCCCTATACCAGCTGTTTTCGGTGATGAGAATTTGTTACAGTTCTGTCAGTCAATTGAGACAATGTCCTCTAGCTGACTGTTGAATGGAGACAGCCCTTAAGTCCTGAGGAAGTGCATGACTGCACAGAAGAGCTCCCTGATCTCAGCTGCTCTTTCCTAGTCAGCCATGTGCCAGAGAAGCAGGCTGCTTTCATGCTCTGGGAGGGACCCATCTTAAGAACTGTTCTCCCCAACTCGCTCTGCATCTGGCTCTGCTTTACCATCTCCCCTCCTCTCTCACACTCTCAGGTGAGCCAATCCAAGGAGCACCAGCAATTCATCACCTTTCTTCAGAGACTCCTGGGGCCCTTGCTAGAGGCCTACAGCTCTGCTGCCATCTTTGTCCACAACTTCAGTGGTCCAGTTCCCGAGACTGAGTATCTGCAGAAGCTGCACAGATACCTTATCACCAGGACAGAGAGGAACGTCGCCGTGTACGGTATGTGACAGTCCCCATATAAATCTGTCTGTTAATTTTGGGAAGTTGGGAAAAATGTGGAATTGTGCTGACCTCTCATTCCATAGCTCTGCCATGGTTGTCATATAAATTGAGTGGTACAGTTATGGATCCTGTGTCTGCCTTTCTGCAGTTAGCATGAAGAGTGAGATTTACCCATGTTCCGTGTGGCTCTGTCTGCTATGTAGTCTTTCACTGTACAAATGCAACCTCTCTTTCATTTTGCTGTTGTGAGTATTGAGCCACTGGCAGCCAAGAGCTCCTTCGAGAAGTCCCGCTGTGCCCCTGTCTGCATCCAGGTAGAGGGTCACCACAGCTGAATGTGTGCCCTTGACATGTCTGTAGGTCAGCCAGTTTTCAGAGCCAGAAGAGATGTAGAGATAGTTAATCCCCTCATGCCACTTTAGGGACAACTGTCCTAGGCCCTTGGCTAATTAGTGGCAAACATGGGTTAGAACTCTAGTTTCCTGACCTCTAGACTTGAGCTTCATGTGTGGTCATGAGCCTAAGAAGCATCTCTGCATCAACTCTTTACCCACCATCTTGTTTGAGTCTCACAAACCCTGCCTGACAGATGCTGTGTGTGTCTTTCTCCTCTCCTCTCTGCCTCTTCTCTGTTTGTGTTAGTAGATGATAGAATAGATTTAAAGAGGTAGTAGTACATTTGAAGGAGGCCTTGTGGTAGTTGCCAGTAGCAGTAGAGAACTTGCTCCAATCTGGACTCCTGTGTTCATGCCCTTTGGAGCCTCCAATATAGAGTCTTGTGTGTGCGGAGCCTGAACACACTGACAGGCCTTGTTGTCTCTCTGCAGCTGAGAGTGCCACTTACTGTCTTGTGAAGAACGCTGTGAAAATGTTTAAGGATATCGGGGTATGTGTCCACGAGCGTGCTGGCCTATGTTTCATGTGGCTCTAATCTGTTGCTCTGCCTTTGTGGGGTCCAGAAGAAGCATTTTCTTCTGGGTTAATTGGGAGTGAATTTCCTGGGTGAGGGTTGGGGCAGGGCATGTTGAAGGCTTGTTTGAATGTATCAGGGTTCTGTGGGTTTCACATTCATTCCCAGACTATAAACAACAGCCGCTGGGCACCTATTCCACATTCTGTTATTTTCTTGCATGTTTACCCCATTGCTAGAATTAGCGTCAGTTTTCTTTACCGTCATGTATGAGGATCTCCATGGATCTGCTTGTGACTTTTTTTATAAGGGCCTGTTTCTGACTTTATTCTCAGTTGTGAAACCCAAGGCTCTGGCTGAATTCCCCTGGAACACCGTCTCACGCCTTCATGCTTGCATCAGACCCACATGCCTACAGTGCTAGCCTTGGACATGCACACCTCTATGCCACATTTATGTAAAGCTTTCTGTCTGTACTGATAGCAAAGGGTCAGTCTTTCTGGGTCTTGGACGTACATCTAGGGCTGCTAACAAAAGCGCTTTCTCCCTACCCCGTTTGTTTTTTGACTGGTATTTTCTCTCACCTCTCTTCAGGTTTTCAAAGAGACCAAACGAAAAAGAGTCTCTGTTTTAGAACTGAGTGGTACTTTCCTACCTCAGTGCAACCGGCAGAAACTCCTGGAGTATATTCTGAGTTTTGTGGTGCTGTAGGGATCTCTTGGCACCTATGGCGAGGGAGGAGCTGTAGAGGAGTCTGACCCAGAGTGGCAGGTGTCGTGGTGTGACCCAGCCTGCCTTACCCCGAGGAGACCTCCAGGAAGATGCGTGCCTTCTGCCCACCCCATGGACCTGCGCTCCTCCCAACACAGTCACAGTGGCCTGTGCAGAGCACTTGGGGCCGGTGCCATCTGTGATTCATGATCACTAGGTTACTAGGTGAAATCTCAGTAAGTTATTTTGGAGTTGATTAAAGATTCACTTTTAAGTTTGACTTTTAAGGACTAGTTACTGCGATGGACATAGAGGTGTATGTAGAACTGACTCTTGTGTAGTGTGTAATAACGCTTCCTTTAAAACAAACGGGTCATCCATTCTCTGTCTCCATCTTCTCGCTGTCAACAGAGCTGTGGTTGTGTGGGAGCCCTTACTTCTCAAGTGCTTTACTAAGGAGTGACTCTGCCCTGGGCTGGCAATCTCCCAGTGTGTTTGAATAGCTGCCTGAAAGCAGAGGATACTGTGTAGAGCAGGAGGTGAGACACTGTGACAAAGGGCCTGTGTCAGGAGTGACTATGGTTGGCAAGGGTAAAGCTGCACTTGACTAGGAAAGTGGCACTGGAGGTTTCGCTCACGTGACCAAGTGCCATTGCGTTGTAATGCCCAGCAAGTGTTTAGAATTGCCCGCTGTTTGGTGGCTGTACCCTCCCTGCCCTTTAAGGGCAGGTGTCTGCTGCTGCTTAGGGCCCTCCAGCCAGTTGGCTTCTGTGCTGCTCGATAGCTCAGCTGGAGGGCCTGCTGGCCTGTGGCACACTGCTGCACCCAAGTCTGGATGACCAGCACTCAAATGGCGCACTGTGCAGCCTGTGTGGCATGCACAAGTGACCCTACAGAGTGGTGGATGGTTAGAGGCCTTTGTGGATTTTAAGCTCTGAGAAGGATCCTTGGTTCCTTAGACATTTATATGGGCTACATACCCAAACTCCATTGCCGCTTGAAGGCAAATAATTATGAAATTTTTTTGTTTTCTATGGGTAGGTGCCTTTTTGTGAGAAAGGAGCATAATTGTTAATTATTTGTGGTAGTTATGGCAGTTTCTTAATGATCATGTGACAGTACAATTTCTAACAATCTGTTGTCCATATCGCCATCATTTTATGGAATTTTTCTGCTGAGTGTTCCATAGATTATTTGAATTTATAAAGTATTAGGGATGACGTTTGTACTTTCCTGACTTGAATTTTAAACACTAATAGTATCCAGTGAGAGATGTGTATGCTTGGCGAGGGTAGGGTCCTGCCTGGCGTCCTACAGTGCATGAAATGGCTGGTTTGGAGCTCATCGCGATAATGCTGTGCTCTGGTGGCTTTCCACCCTTCCCAGCTGTGCATGCCAGATCCCCCTTTCCTCTGCATCAGTTCACTGTCAATTGTAGCAACTTGGGTGTGGAGTGAGCTGTTCACCTTTTAGCCTTCTGTATTGATAACGAGGGCCTTCCCTTGGCTGTACTTGGGGATGCCCAGGGAGTCTGGCTTACTCCCTTGGGACACCCTTCTGGGGACTCAAGCATTGTGTTAGTCTTTCTTTCTCCTTTACCCTCTGAATGGAAACTGAAGGTGGCTCCCTCTGTCAGGTGGCTGCAAAGCCGTGGACCTGACCTCCCTGCCTATCACCTGCAAATAATGGCTGCCTCTGCAGCCTGCGCAGAGAAGCGTGCCCTTCATTTGCTGTGCTTTCCCTTTTGTCCGGTTCATTTTAGGGACTGCAGTTCACTTGCTGTTGCCAGACACTTAGCTCACTGTGAGGACAAGTCCGCATGCTTTTTGTAATTAACTGGTGCTTTGAGACCAAATCTCAACCAAAGTTATGCGCATCCCTACAAGCTGACCCTTGAGTTAATTTAGCACAACTCATTCTTCAGTGCCTCGTTAGGAAGAGGGAAAAGTGGAAGTCTTGCAGGGAGCCTGCTCGCTAATAGAGACAGTCCCTCCTTTCCAGCAGTGGGCAGCGTCCTCAGAATTAAACTAACTAGGTGCTTGTATATAACTTATTACAGTTTACTCTGCTGCATTTCTGTCAGACCGAAATGCATGCCCTTCAGGGGAAGACTGTGAGACAAGTTTAAATAAACAAATAAAAGCCTAATAATAAGCAATATGAAGCTGCACTCTGTTTTCAAATGAGGCTAACCCAAGTAACTCAGAGAGGGGAAGGCTATTTGCTTTTCTAATCCTGAGGAAAATGAAGGCAAAAACAAATGTTAGGTGAGCACACCCAGGAATACGCTGTATCCTTCTGGACTCTGTTAACCCTGGGAACTCATGAGGGTGGGCGCAGACATTAGATCTGCTTAGGCAGTGAAGGGAAGCTCAGATGGGGATTTCCTGTGCTGGTGTCTGTGTCAGGTGGCTGCTCTGAGATGGGTTTCTGGGTTTGGGCATACAGCACATTGCAGTGCTGTTGCATTCTGCAGTGCACAAGCCTGCTGAACCTGGAATTTCCCCAGCTGCTTTGACCTCAGGACCTTCTCCCCTCTGCACTCACTGCATGCCATGGAAAACATTGTGGGAAATTGCATCAGTTAGTTCCTTGAGCAGACCCAGATGGTCACAGACAGTGGCGCTGAGGCAGAATTTGCATGCTTTTGTATAGTCCCTGATGCAGCCAGTGAACGTTATTTTTCCTTGCTGGAAAGAGTCAGCACAGGACATTGGCTGGAGCGCTTTCCTTTGGTGGAAATCAGCTACCCACGGCCCTGGCCTTTTAAAACTGAAAGTAGCAGAATTAATACAAGGATTAATTGGGGTAAATAATGAAGGTTTTAATTTAGATCTAGAAGAAAACACTGCACAATCGAATGCAGATTTTTATCCACAGACAACTGTAGTGTTTTGCAATGATAAACCCTATCTTTGAAGTTTATAAGACTTACTATGGGATGTAAATCTGTTTTTTAAAAACACTTTTTAGGAGCTTGAGAGTTGCCATCTGGCATTTAGTTTAGTACAACCAATGACTGCTTCTAGAGGCTCTTGACCTTACTTCCCTTCAGCTAAAGGGCTAACCGTCTCTGTGAGGTGTTTGTTACAGTATTTGCCCATTGTACAGCGTATACTAGATTGTTGTAAAAAGAATTGCTACTGTAGAATAGCACTGTATGATTTTATGAGCGACACTGCTTTGAAAATGTTGGCTGGTTTTTATGCCTGATGATGGTGTATCCTGAGAAGCATGGAAATGGAGTTTTGTTTTAATAAATCAGAAAAAAAAACAACCTGTTGTGGAATATTATTTTACTTGTGTAAAGGTGTGTTGCATTTGTTTCTGCTGCTTTTGTTAATAATGCAAAGACGTGTTACATTTGTTTGACTAAATAAAATTAACCTGGTTTGAGCAACTGACAGGAAGTGGTCGGGAGGAGCCAAGTGTAGTGAGGTCCTTAAGTGGGGGCTGCTGAGCAGAAGGACAGCTCCCCCCTTTTTTTGGGAGATGGGAGCAAGGAGAGGAGAGAGAGAGGAGGGTCAGGGAAAGGAGGAGAGGAGGGCATCAGGGCCCAGGGCAAGCCAGGCATGGAGTAAGAAGGAAAGAAAGATGTGTAGGCTAAAGAAAGGTAAAAAGCCCAGAGGCAAAATGTAGAAGGAGAGAAATGGGTTAATTTAAGTTAGAGAAGTAATAAAATCTTAGCATCCAGAGGTAATTTTACAAAATGTTGAGGCTGAGAGTAATAGAAATGACATTTTGGGGGAAGAGAAATGAATCAGTGGGTGCCAGATGTCCTGTCTGGGAAGCGGAGCCTCTGCTGAAGAACGGCCTCTGCCAGGTTAGCCTGTGGTTGTGTCTGCAGAACTGTCTTGAATGATGATTGCCACTGAGGGACAGGGCTCGGCCCACTGTGGGTGGCACTGTACCTATGCAGGTGGCCCTGGGCTGAATAAGAAAGCTAGGAAAATACAAGCCGATGAGAGAGCCAAAAGCAGCCTTTCCACCTTCAGTTCCTGCCCTGACTTCCCTCAGAGATGGACGGTGAGCTGGAAGTATAAGCTGAAAGAAATCCTTTCTTCTCCAAGTTGCTTTTGGTCAGTGTTTTATCGTAACAGAATAGAATGGAGTGCTTGCTGTGCAAATGTGTGTGGGGGGGATCTGAGTTGGGATCTCAGCACTGATGTGAAAAGCCAGGTATGGCTGAAAATGCTTGTGACTCCAGTGCTGTAGAGGGCAGAGACTGGGAGACAGACCACCAGGGCTTCAGCAAAAATCCCATCACAAGGAAATAAAGTGGACAGAGCAGGATGCCCAAGAGGCCCCGCCCTCCCCATCCTCTATATCTGCACACATGCACAGATATGGTGGACACTGACCATGGGGTCTCTGTGGCCAAACCAAGAGCTTCAGACATAGTGCCACCTATGTGATGTGTACTGGAGTGCTATCAAGGAATTAACATCAAAATTCCAAAATAGGATTGAGTGCTTTGCTACATAAGGTAATTCCCTGGCAAGGTCTTTTATAATAGGAATTTCAACAAGTATGCAAGTTTACTCAACAAGTATTAGAGTTAGTTCATTGCTTGCATGACTTTGAATGTATGCTTGAATTCACCCTTTTATGAATTGGGGCTAATAAAAGTAAGTTCCATGAGTCCACTGAAGTGTTCCAGAAGTATAATTTATTCTCTGCTTGAAGGTGGGCTGCTTTATTGTACTGGGTTTTTCTGAGGCAGGTTTTTTCAGTGGATTTAGAAGGCCTCTGACCTTTTTCTTCTTGACTACCATGACAGTCACCTGTATCCATCTCTTCCTGAATATGCCCGGAGTGCTGGTGAGCCATCATGTCATGTCTGACCTTCCGCTTATAAGGTGGGATCCATCAGTAACTCACAGCCTCTGCCTGTAGCTTCTTTACCTCTCAGGAACACTCTGAGGGTCCTGGTGCTAGCAGGCTTCTGTTGAAGTCCATGGCAATGACCACTCACCAACACTCCTTTCTCCGTTTTCCCTTTCTCTGTCTCCTTTGTCAGTCCCTTGCTGCTCCTTCCTGGCATCAGCTTGTGCATAGATGACTTGCTGCTGAACTCTTGTCTTGTGACTGGTCCTCGAAAACCAGGTGAAGATGGTCTTCTTTTCTCTTCCCTAGACGATGCTCTGCTGTGCACCTATGTCAAGAGTTAGCGTTTCCAAAGACTGAAGTTGTACAGTTAAAAATATTTTATGTATATGTATGTGTGCACGAGTATATTTCTGCACCATGTCTGAAGTGTCCTTGGAACAGGGTGTTGGATCCCCTGGAACTGGAGTCACCAATAGGTGTGAGCATTATGTGGGTGCTGGGAAATGATCCTGGGTCCTCTAGATCAGCCAGTGCTCTTGAACACTGAGCCATCTTCCCAGCACCCCCAAACATTTGGACGAGCAACAGGAGAGCCCCATGAGAGCATAGTGATGGAGAACAGCTCCTGTTAGTTTCTCTGAGAAAGGTCTACCTACAATGGTTGACCATGTCAAAATTTGGGAGGCAAGTGCCCAGGAAGTGCAAGTGCTAGTATTACCAGAGCCAACCTTCAGAGTATTCAGAAATCATACAAGTGGCGAGTAAGTCCCACCCTGACTCTGGGGCAGCACTGTCTCCCAGGGGACAAGTACCACACCGAAGAAAAATTTCCAAAGGACACTGCAATTGGGTGAGATAGTTCCAGAGCCTCCTGGGCTGCTGTGGAGATGGGGGCATGACTGTGCGGGTTCTCATCCAACAGACACCCTTTCACTGGGTCCTGAAGGAAGGGGAAGAACAGAGCGTTTAGATGGGAATCTTTCAAAATTTCACCTGTGAATTCACTTCCACAGCTATAAAGTGGTTGGATACAGGATCTATATCTATGTTGTCACCCCATCCACTCTGGTGACTTGGAGGCTCCAGGCTGATCCACTTGTGCTTGTTTGAAGCAAGTGAAATACATTTTCTAAGCTGTTGAAAGTTTTTATTTTATTTTATTTTTTTCCATGGGAACCTCTGGCTGTGGTTAAAGTTGATAGATCTACAGCCCTACCTGGACTTGGAGGCTGGCGGGGAACAGAGAAGTGTGTCTTTCTGTTACTGTGTTTGCCCATGCCTCGTGCCAAGGGCCATTTGATCACTGGGCCTGTGCAGTCTCTCTCTCTCTCTCTCTCTCTCTCCCTCCCTCTCTCCCTCCCTCCCTTCCTTCCTTTCTTTTCCCGAGACAGGTTTCTCTGTGGCTTTGAATCCTGTCCTGGCACTCGCTCTGTAGATCAGGCTGGTCTCAAACTCACAGAGATCCACCTGCCTCTGTCTCCCAAGTGCTGGGATTAAAGGCGTGTGCCACCAATGCCTGTCTATTTTGTTTTCTAAAATGGACAGTGGCGTCTCTGAATGCTCACATCTTTAAAATGGAGGCAGCAGGCCATTTGAATCTTTAGGTGGAGCAATTTGGTTTTTCAGAGCACAAACTGGCAGCCAATCACTGAGCTGCCAGCTGTGGGGCAGGACCCCCCACTCCCCAATGGACTGATGAAGTTGAGGCTGTTGGGTGAAATTCTTCAACAGAAACTCAGCTTCTTCAGGGAAGCTGGCAGCTAGGAGGCCAAACCTCAGATTCCTTCAGCCTTGGCCTTCTTTGTGGATTTTGGGATTTCAGGTAAATCTCATCTGTGGTGGGGGAATAGGAGGGGTAGGATGGAGAAGCACTAGGAAATAGAAAGTTATTATTTCCTTCAAAATGTGAAGCCCTATGCCACGACCCATCCTGGGGCAAAGGGGCTGCAGCTGTGGCTATGTGTGTAGGTGTGGGAACCCCAATGTCACACTGCATGTGGTGAACAGCCCATCTCACCTTTGTGAACTCCGGGAAAAGAAAAGATGGCCATTGTGTGTAAGGTCGTAGGCGTAGGTGTGTGCCCCTTTAAATTGCTTTCTTTTGGCTTGGAGCCTAAATTGCCAACACAAAATTTGAGCCTGTGTAAACTGGTTTCAGAATCTGGAGATGCCTCCCCGCCTACAGCAGCTTCAGGTGTAACCGTTGGCATGATACTGTGACCAAAGCTTTGCTACCCAGTTCAAGTCCCAGCTTGGCACCTACCAACCACTGGATCCCGAGCCTGTTTTCTGGTGACCTGCCTTTACCTAACAGGCGACAACGTGAAGGAGCGAACACATTGGAAGCACTCTGTCCCTGCCCGGCTTATTAAGATGACTGCTTTTTAAATGTTAGCTCAGGTCAGGGGGCTGGCTGTCTCTTCAGATAATCTGGCAAATTCAGTTTTCTTCTGCCTTCCCACTCATTGCTTGGCCAGCGTTTGACAGACACAGGTCTAAACTCTTCATACACAGGCTCTGGGATTCTCCAACCTCATTATGTCTTGAAGTCATACCTTAATTTTCATTTCCTTCAGTCGGGCCCACCTGCACCAGGACGCTGGGTGTGGCCCTGCCGCAGTTTTGGATCTGACCACTAGGTGGCGATAGAACCCCATCAAGAGGTTCTTAGCCACAGACCTAGGTAGATGGGGGGCGCGGGGGGTGCGAGCATGGCCGGGGCCGCCCTGACAACTAGGGTGGGTGCATCTACAAATACTCAACAGTGTTGCTTGTCACAGACATCCCAAGTTAGAACCCAGAACGGCTTCCTCAAATGAAGGCAGGCCAGGGAAAGCCACAGGGACCCGGCCTGGGCACGGGGCGTGGCAGAGAGCGTGGCTGGCTCGGGCTGTATGCTCCTGTGGCTGCGGGCCACCTGATGTCAAGGAACCCTAGGAGTGCATGCCTGCGAGGGCTGCGGAGGTGGCGCCGGCTAGGCCTTTGCTCTTCTCCCCGGCTTTCCATTCACTGGTGCGAGGGCACTCCAAGCCCCATCACCGAGCTCAGAGTCCGTCTTACTCCCCGCTTCGGCCTTCCTTTGCAGTATCCGAAAGTAGGGTGCAAATAATTCCCGAAGGAATTATTGAGGGAGCGAGTGCCCCCCCCCCCAGATGCCCGGAAACGCCCCTTTGGTGCCGGTGTGGGAACTTGACTCAGTCCAGGCTTTGCCCGTTGAAACCGACTTACTTCCTCCCGACTCCCATTTTCATCTCCTTTATTCACCCACAGTGTGAGTGTTACATGAGGGCAAAGGAGCGGGCTGGGAAGGGGCTGTAGGGAGGGTGTGAGTTTGGATCTGGACCTGTGTGAAAATGGGGGACCGCTGAGGAGGAGCCAGGGAAGGGGACTGGGGCTGGAGACAGTTTTTTTCTTGGTTGTCCTCTGGAGCAGTTAAGACAGTGGGCG